GTCAGGGGGGCATATTAAATACCTTTCCAAACTCTACTTTAGAAAGTCTCAATTTAGGAATGCTTTCTTTAATTCCAATTAAAGCTTGTAGGAAAATTCTTTTAGCTTCAAAATGAAATCTGACTTTAAAAAATTCTACACAGCCTTTTGCAGATTTTAAAGTTTACAAGAACAGGACGTCAGTTAGACATTAATATTTTTACATAATAATTACAGAGTGAGAAATTTATGCATCTCTGCGCTATATGAAGGTACGCCACACACACTTCACTTTGAACAAATTCATATTACACTACCTCAAACACTCAGGAAAATCTGTACTCACCCACAAATCATGTTCAGCATAATCAAACAGCAGCCAAACCTTTCTGTCACTGTGAGAAAGGAAAACCTTCTGCAATGCAATCACGTTAGGGTGCTTCAGCTCTCGTAAAAGCTGCAGAGAAACAGAGAAGCTCTTGTTACTTCTGTGCTTGTTAAGAAAAGCAAACACAACAACAAAAAAACAAAACAGGTCTTAGCACAAAAGCAAACAAGAAATCCTAAAACAGGCCCTAGAAGAAAATATGCCACTGATTCAACACATTATCTTCAAAACGTCAAAATCAGGATATACACAGCCTCCCTGGCATGGGTTGCTGTCCTGCAAGCACAGCTGACCCATCACTAGCTACTTGTCTCTCAGTCCCATACTCAGCACACAGCTGCCCATCCTACCCTCAGCTTCTATCTTGAAGGATGTTATTACACACAAACGTAACTGTTCTGCTATCAAAAGTGAACATCAGGATTTAAGGATGCCAGAATGAAGCTTGTGCAGCTGGTCCAATTCTTTGCGTGGACAACACAGTTCTTGATCTCCACATAATTACTGTATTACCAATAATTTTCTTTTGCATTTGATCCCTGCCTCGCTTGCCTGGAAGTCCACTGGGTTGTTCTTCTCAGAACATAAGGGTGTTTTTAAAGAAAAGTTTACCAAAACCATTTTTCTAATGGTTGTTTCAACTACTATCCTGTAATCCAGAAATAAACCCATGCTTATTTACTGTTTGCCAGAAAGAAAATTAGGTTTCATGAATAATTAGACAGCACATTAAAGCAGGCACCACTGCTGAAGTCACCCTTCTGCCAGATTAAATCAGTCCTCAGGAGGAGTTGGGAAGTGGTACTCCCCAAAATATAATTTCCAAGGAATCACTTCTTTTTCTTCTTTCCTCCATACTGCAGTCACAAAAGTGATTGATCACTTCTCTTTTACCTGAAAATTGCTTGCATCTGCAGCACTGGTATATAAATTGCCAAGAATCAATTTATAATGGCAAAATAGCAAATACAGTAGGTTCCAAGGCACATTTGAGAGAAATGAATCTTCCTTTTTCACCTTACAGAAAAAGACTCTAGATGTTTATTTTACGGAAAAAAAATTAAGGAAAAGGATTAATTTTAAATTATATTATCCTTTGGCTATACAGATATCTGTCAAGATAGGAAAACTTCTAAAGAATATTACAACTGCTTAAATCTATTCCAGTTTTCCAACAAATGAAATCATTTAAATGCTTTTTCTACCATGCAGGAAGTGTTTTCTTCTTTTTGTTTCTTCCTCTCCTTAAGTCTAAACATTTCTAGCTGTAAAAGAAAGAAATTCCTCCCTAATGAACTGTCATGCCCAGGTATCAATTACGAGATACAGTAAAAATCATTTTGTCACTTAGCACGTAGTAACAACTTGCAGAATTATAAACTAACAAAACCCTAGAGATTAAAATTGTCTCTTCGACATGCATCAAGAGATGTTGCTGTATACCTTGTCTTTAGTAATATTAAAAACTATTTTCCAGCAGGGATTTGACATGATGCCTCTGCCTTTTTTTTTTTTTTTTTTCTTTTTTAATAAACAGTTCTTTTCATTTTAGGATAATTTTTAAACTAGGGGGAGAAAAAACATTATAGTAGGCACATTATTTTTTTTAATTGCTATTAGATTTTTCTTAAAGATACTGTTGCCAGCAATACCAATATAAAATAATTCCAAATTGTTGTTTTTTTTTTTTTTTAAAAGATGAAATAAAGCATTCTCTCAAAATAAGGAAAACTTTGCAGTAAGAAACAGCCAAAGAGAATATAGTTCCATATCAAATGCTAGCATATAATAAACAAGTTAATAGAAATATTATGTAGAGCATAAGAATAGAAACAATGCCTAAAGTGTTGTGCATTAACAGAAAGGTACTATACTAAAACAAGACAGGAATGTGTATATTCTGCAGCTCTCAAACACCACTGCTCATACCAATCCACACAGAGAAACTGTATGTAGCAGTGGTCACCATCTGTCAGAACAGCCTGATTAATAAATGAAACCTGAAACCTCTCTTTTTCATCCAAGTCATCAAAAAGGATACTTTCATATTAAAGAAAGTGGTAAATTTCTTACCCAAAACAACGACATACACGCATTTACAATGAGTAAGTTATTTCTAACGCATTGTTCTCCTCTTTTGATTCAACTTAGATAAGACAACAAGCATCCTTATCCAAACCCAGCATTTTTCACATGACACAATCCAACTGTTACTGGTATGATCTTAAACACTGATTTTTGTAAAAAACATGAGAACACGAGGAAGAAATCCTTATGTTGGTTTTATACTACGTGTGTTGAGTTTCTAACAGAGAATGTCTGTATCTGACCTGAAGCTGAAGAACGGAGCACTCTGAGGCCAGCAATTGTCTCTTCAAAAAAGTTCTGACACTATTTTTCAGCTACTGGGTGACTGTTTATAGTTGCAGCCATAGATGGCAAGAGCTCCCACCAAACTAACAAAGTCTGTTTACACAGGTTACAGATGCACTCTCTACCCACCTGCTTCTCAAGTCTGTTCTGCTCAGAAAACCTAGCAATTTTTCTAAACCATATTGTAAATGAACACGTTAAAAGCAATAAGGTTATTTTTAAAGTTGCAATCTAGAGATGTTCCAATACCTTGATCATAGGGGCATAAGGTAGCAGCCTTATAAATAACAACGTATGTTTTTCTCTCAAGAGGAGCAGTTACAAAGCAAAACATCTCAGAGACATGAATGCTTACTGAAATGCATCTTATCTAACAGTTATATTTAAGAGGATATTCATAATTTATACAGAACATTTAAGGACTTGATTCCCTGACTTAAACTCATTCTGTAGTTGTGTTAGACACCGACCAATATCAAAAACTAGACTGAAAATTTGTCAAATTATCTTGTTCCATCTAACAGTGTGTAATAGGAAATACTGGTAAGTTATTATTAAGAATGTTTAAACAAGCTTTTGTGTTACCTATTTATGCTCCAACAGATGAACAAATTTGTTAATTAAGAAGGAAGACAACTCAATTTTTGTGTGTTCTCATTTGTCTATCTTAAGTGAATGCTTTGCAATTATCATGGATAGTCATTTTGGAAGTGCTTTTGTAGTTTTAGCAAATAACGGATCTTTACACCTTCTTCTTCTTCTTCTTCTATGGAGCCACAACCCTAATATAGCAGCAGGCCGTAAGGAATTTCATGTAAAATAGAAAGCTTCAAGTGGAAAGCAGTGGCACACATCCAAACCAGAATGGTTTTAAAGGCCTTGTTGCATTCTGGCTGTCAAGACTGCCAGTGCCGCAGCAGCCAGTGCTTCAGCAGCGGGAGCCAGACCAAGGAAACGTCAGCTCTCGAGTCCAATGCACTGGGTCAAGAACGGGAGCTCCGCTCTAGCTACACTGGGCTTGCAACGGTGCTAAACACCAATTAGATGAGACCAAAAATTATAGCTTAGGGTAGAAGTGACTAGCTTGAGTCATGAACAGAAATGTTGGTCAGATTTATGTCTAAAAATAATCTCCCCTAGAGACGGACTACAGCAGAAGAGAGGGGGACCACAGGAACCGAACCGATGTTACTCACAAGTACAAAAAGAGCAGAGATGAGCAGTCTCATTCAAAAAGTACTGGAAAGACGTGATCAGAAAGGAATATAGGGCAGAACCAAATACACAGCTATTGAAATCAAGATACAGCAAATTTCAGACAAGTGTTTCAAAGGCAAGTATTGATCTAAGATTTAGCTAAAAAGAAATCAGAGACTTCGGAAACAATATTTTCATTAAAGCAGACAGGTGGAAGCCAGTCATGTGAAAACACGGGGACATATTTAAAGCTACTTGCATCACAGTTATATCAGCTACCCACCCTAACGACTTTTATGTTTGACTAGAATTTTGGCAATATTTAACTTCTACACCAACCACCTAACCGTATTATCATTATTTTTTGTCTAAATGGCTTCAAAATTATTTATTGCTTTAAAGGATGCCAAGTGTAGCACCTAGTTCTTCAGCTAACCCTAATCTTGAAAACAAAGACCTAACTCATCTCATGTTAGATTTGCCACTTTTGTGTTTCTGCCAGCTTCTGCTATGAAGGGCTGGGGTTCCTACTGCCTTTGTGCAGGCTGACAACAAACCTGACTTCAAATTCTTTGAATAAGGGAGCTGAAGAACTCATTTTTAAATACATTGTCCAAATAGGAGATATAGGGCAGAAGGGGAAAAAAGAGAAAGAGTCGTAAGGCTACATTTAGGTAAGACTTTAGCCAAGTCTAATGGCTCACCTTGCAGTTTCACCTTTCCACTACTCACTTCATTAGCTGTCACATGCCACATACGTCTAACAGTTAAGTCATGCACCTTTTTCTGAAATGGTTGTATGTCTGTTCATCACTATAAACACGCTTCACAAACATGCACTTTAACCATACCTAGAATTCCAAGGACAACTTCAAAGACACAGTAAATCATTGTCTGCAGTTTTTCTGCACCACAGATTGCCATATAAACTTTAAACATACAAAACAGATGAATGAAACATAATACCAATACTATTTTTCTTAGGTCTTCTGCAGAAGTAAATCGATTGGAGGCTGGGTTAATTCAAGTCTAAAGCTAGAAAGAAGAAATTAATATACTGTCCTAGTAATTGAAAGATTCCCGTGTACCTGACAACATTTTATTGCAAGATAACAACTTGAATGTAAGAAGGATCTGCAACTGCTAGAATTTATTACTAAGTGAATACAGTATCATATTTTAGTAGTACTTTAGCTTATTGTTCCTCTAAAATTTAAGTTCCATCAAACCCAACTTGCAGTAAAATGCTAATAAAAACCTCTCTCAGGTAAGTTACAGTACATTTCTTTCTCGGTAACATCATACAAAGCAGTTTAGGCAGAAAGTCATTGAGAAGGACATCACTCTGAATTGTCAACATCTGTGCAACTTTGACTCTCCTGTAAAATGGCTCTCTTGTAAACATATTAGATTTTTTTTAATTATTCTTCTGGTCAAGAGAATTGTATAAGCATCTTTGCTCATCACAGCTCTTAGTTGATGCCACAGTCTCAAATTTT